TTATGATGAGTCTGACTTCCTCTTTCACGATCTCAATTCGGCGCAGTGAGATGTGGGGTGATTTAGTACGCTACTTCCCTGATTGGGACCTATTTTGGTTCCAGTTGGGATACACTTTTTTGGCCAACTTTCTCCGAATTGAATTCCGGTTGCACCGTTGCGATCAGACAGACGAACTCTGTCCAACGATATAATTTTTATATTTATTTGTAACACTTTTTCCGACGTCATATTTTTGGGTGTTTGACTTTGACAGAGTCAAAATTGATTCAATTGACTTTTATTCAAAAAAGTTCTCATAATTAATTCATATTAATTATTCTCATGATTTATTTGAATAAATCATTTTAATGTTCACATCATAATTAATTTTTTCATTTATTCTTGATTTGAGTCTGTACTCGGGTTTCCAATCAAGACCACACAAATAGTCAATAAATTGGATTTATCTCTATGAGATTTATCCTGATTGTGATATTGGATATCAAAACATATTTCTTATCAGCCCAAAGCCCAATAACAATTTATTTTAATCAAAACAAATTTGATTAATTTTAATAATTATCTATTAATAATTTTAGGGTATGTTTTGGGGCGTTACAACTAAATAATAGATGATAAAATAATTTAAGAATATAGTGTTAAAGTTTAAACAAAAAACGTCATTGTATGTAGGGGTGAGTATGGTACGGTATTTAGCTCGTTTCGATATCGTACAAAATATTTCGGTTTGGTATGGAATTTTACTCCGTACCGATCCCGAAATATCGGTTCGGTATGGTTCGGGATGGTTCCGTATCGGTTTCAATACAAATCGGGATGAATATACGTACCTACTTTACACGTTAAAATTTAACAATACCCCTTTATTTTTTAAAATTAAAAGTGAATTTAAATATAAAAAACATGAAAAATTAAAAAAAAATTAAATACAAGAGATGCGTATCAAAACTTAGTTTATATTTCACAAACTAAAAAAATAAATGACAACACAGGAGTATTTCGAATCTTTGTGAATACTTTTATGTTATACACAAAAATTAAAACTCAAATAAAAGTATAATTTACATATCATAGAACTTGAACCAAATTTTTTTTAAAAATTTATTATTTAGTGAAAGAATATAAAAATATTACTCCGGGGTATTAATTTTTTTATATTTTAGTGTATATGTTTGGTACGGGATTTTCGGTATGTGACGTCATCTCGTAATGTTCCCGAATACCGTACCGACCATTCGTTTTGGTACGGTTTGGTTCCTTCTCGGTACTTTTTCGGTTTGGTATTTTTCGGTTTGGTATTCTCAGTTTTTTCAGGAAATTTTGGTATCAGTTCGGTACTTGCTCACCCCTAATTGTATGCGTATTGAAACGGACACCTTTAAATTTTTTTCTCCATCTTAAATGTATATGCGTATTTAGTCCATTCACAGGTTCACACACACCTCTGTACATACATACACACACACACATATATGTATGTGGGTGTGTGTGTGTGTATATATATATATATATATATATATAGGGATTAAATCCAGTGAGATGACACATTATGGTGATATGACATGCTTAGGTGAGATGACACAAAGCTCACCACACTACATTACAAAGCTCACCTAGAAAAAAGGAAAGCTCACCACTTTGAACACCAAAACTCACCTTTTTTTAAATTCTAAATATTTAAAATTAATAAAAAAATAAAATAGCAACATCGGTCAACCACCGGTCAGCGGCGGCGGTTGCCGGCGACCTGCAGCGGGGCGGCGGCGGCAGGCGGAGGTTTCCGGCGACCGGCGGTGGGAGCAGATTCCGGTGACCGGTGGCGGATTCCGGCGACCGGCGGCCGGCAGTGTCCGGTGGCGGCAGGTGGCGGTCAAAGGTCTCGGTCAACGGTCAAAGTCCAGTCAGCACCCCTTTCTTTGATTTTAATTTTTTAAAAAAAATTTAAAGTGTTGAAAAAATATGATGAGATTTGCCTTACAATTTGGTGAGCTTTGTAGTTGTCCTTAGTGAGCTTTGCAGTTGGTAGTGGTGAACTTTGCGTTATCTGACGTCATCTCACCGTAAGGTATCATCTCACTGGAGTACTATGTGCATGACCGTAGGATGTCATGTGGAAGAATCAAATTCATCTCAAATAATTAAATGACATCGTACACAAAATAATTGAAGTTACCTTGTATTGCTCCAAAATATAAAATCAGTTATTCGGTTTGGTGTTTTTTTATTGTATTTTTTTAGTTTGATATTTTTCGGTTCAATTTTTTTACTAGTACGTAGTTAATATTTTTAAACTTTGACCATAACTTATAGAAAAAATATATTGAATTATGATATAAAAAAATATCAATAGATTAATTTAAAAATATAGTTTTAAAATATCATACTTTATAATTTATATTTATATATAAATAGATATATTAAAAGGTAAATATTGCATTGAGAGTGTAATTAAAAAATCAAATGAGAGAAAAAATATGGGGGGGGGGGGGGGGGGG